AAGGAAGAAAGAAAGAAAGAAAGAGAGGAGCAAATGAACAAAAGAAAGAAAAAAGAAAGAAAAAAGAAAGAATTAAAGGACAGGAATAAAGGAAAGGACTAAAAGATGAATAAATGAATTAATAAACAAATGCACAGGCAAATCAATCAAAGTAACCTAATAACAAAAGAAAGAAAGAAAGGAAAGAAGGAAGGAAGAATGAAACAGTTTAATTAAAGAAAGAAAAAAAGAAAAAAAAAAAGTAAGTTCTAGTTATATCATACCTGAGCTATAAAGTCCACTTCATTATCATCGTAAAAAACCAATTTGAAGCAGTATTCCTGTTTTTGTCTTGATGCTGGCAAGGAAACTGTCTCTGATATACTGCGAACCTATGGAATAATATTGTATCAAAAAGCTGGCTTAGCTATATGAATTACTGGATTAATAATAAATAATACTTTATTTATATAATAAAATTCCATATCAGTCCAAATGCTTTACAATATTACAATGAAACAAAAACAGACAAAATAGAAATAGAAATATATCCTAAACTAGACAGAATAAGAGATAAGAGACTATGAATAAATTTATATATTATACATAAAGAATAAATATAATAAAGAAAAGTTATAGATTATATTAATCAATAAAATAAGCCTTTCTGAATAGGTAGGTTTTTAGGGTTATGCCTATGGAGCTACAGTACTGCTTCTTGTCAACCAGACTATCTTGTGCTCATTAAAAGCTAAACACTCAAACTCATTTGTTACACATGTAAAGGGAGCCGGACTGACTGTATACAGCTATTTCAAAAAAACGTTGTCGGCCGGAGATCTGAAATCTGAGACCGAAAGGAATTGTGGGTTGTAAGCTGTAAATTGTTTGTGATTTTAATTAGTAGTTCGCAAAAAGTTAATATCTTGATATACTAACTTTGAGCGATGACCTGCACTGGCAAAATATCTGGGTAAGTGTACATTAAATTTTGAACGAGAAAACACTCAGTCCCTCACAATTCCAATCGGTCTCAGATTTCTGACTTCAGATATCCAACCTACAACGTTTTTTGAAATAGGTGTATTATATAAGGAGACCACCTTCCAGTCTACACCATCGCCTGATAAAGACTAGCAGTAGCAGTGGAAACTTCATGGTGCTCCCAACTACCTCAATTGTGAGACCAATGAAAAAGTATAATCTTTCATTTATTAATCCACTAYGAATAATCTTTGCCATTTTATATGGAAAATGAATGAGTCTGATGTTTTGCACTTTTATTTGTAAACCAATGGTGATCAAGATACCATACTTTCTTGGTACTATCGTCGTGTACGGATTAATGAAGTATGTCATAGGTTTCCGAACACAGGAGTGGGACTTAGAAATTTTGGTTCTCCTCACTTAGAAAAAATATTAAGCGAAGACACCAAGAATCGAACTCAGTACCTTTAGCACATAAGAACTACTACAATGCCAACCCCAACCCTAACTATAAACCTAACCCCTAGATCACAAAGCAAATTCGATTGGGTGGTCTCATTTTTTAGTCATATTTAAACGATGTATCATYAGCATGTGTACATAAATATTTATTATAGTTTAATTTATGCTATCGTAGGGTACGACTACTAGTCGATTACTCAGAATTTGAATTTGAATAGAATTTCCCTGACAATTTCCGTACACAACAATGCAACCACTTTCTTACCAGTTCCAAGTCAATCTGTGCCTTSACATTCTCTCGTTTTTCAGTGTATGACTTTTCATTACCAAAGCATTGTATAAGGTTGCCATAGAGCTTATAATTAGAAAAAACATAAACATAAAAATCAATAGTATTCACATTACTGCACTTTTTCATTATCCTGCAAACTAAGTAGTTTTTCACTCCACCAATCAAAAGTAATCAGTTGATACCTCTAATCATTGAATTTTTGATTGACGGCAGTGAAGCTAATTTCACAAAAGCCAATGAAATGTCTGAGTTTGCAGAATATTGGAAAACATAGTAACAAACAGTCTTGCTAACTAATTACATGGAATGGTTGAATGCATTAGAGTACCTTTTCATATAATTGTCTAATATATAGGAAATTCTGAAGTTACACTTTCTTATAACACATTTACAGCCCTGCTTGCTGTACTTCCCTACGAATTAACATGTGCAGACTGGATTTAACATGTACATGTACTGTGCAATCACACATAAATGTTGCTTAGGTGTATTGGAATTTTTGACCTTCTTTAAATTAATTCAGAACTGTTCTAAAGTCTATGTATAAAAACCCTCCCAATTTTTATCCTCGAAATAAAACCGACTCATAAGGATAAAGAATATGGAAAAATAATTCTATTTGAGTTTGAAAACATTTATCAGTTGCTACAGTATATTGATTGCGTAGTTAATTAATTTACAAAGAATCGAACTTAAGCCAAATTCAAACTTGATTTATTTACAACTATAATTCATTTTTATCTATCAAAATAAAACCTTGATTATCAAATAATACCATTTATCATGATTCAATTAGAATACAAAATTATTTTTTATCAAATTTTCTCAAAGTATAATAATGTAAGATAACAAATATGTAATAATTACCACACAAAAATACTTCCGGGGCTTGATCTTGAAAAATGAGCAAGAACGTTTTGCAGTCAAATAACTCTCAATATGAGGTGGAATTTTCCCCTAAAACAACACCAACACATCCATTACTCACTATAGCCATATGATATCACAACTAAAAAGCGATCAAGACGATCTAAAGGGTAATATTTGTTATTTACCGTGGGAGTTGATGTGTTATTGTCCGCCATGTTTGTCATGCATGATGGCACGAGAAAGGACTGGGATTGAACGAACCCCGCGAAGACTCGATACTATGACGTCACTGGGCCTTCTCTTCCTGTCTGTTTTCTATGTAGTTATTTTTATCAATATCTTAAAAATGAGGAAAAGACTAAAATAAAATGAACTATTTTTGAGCTATTTTAACTGTTTTTAAAAAAGCGGTGAGAAAAAATATCAAAATTTTCAACAGAGTGCATCCATAAATTCGTGAAAAAGCTAACTAAAAAAATTGTACAAATTTTTAATAAATATTCATTGAATAGAATATCTTATGCTCTTTATAAATTCATTTTGTAGTTTTTAATAGTTTTTTTGTTTTGTTTTAAAAATCCTTCAACATTCTACTTCCGGTAAGGATTCCCCCTCGTGTGATTTACCTTCCGCTTCCGGTTCATTGAAACAAAACCAGGCTTGGCTGCTTTCTTGCTTTCATGGCACAAAATGGCTGGTGGAAAAATATCAAAATTGTTCGGATTTTAACTTGAAAATTCTTATATTTTACTATGAATCCCACCACAGGAAGCTGACGGAAGCTTTCTAATACCTTAATGACTGTCTGGACACGTTGGTTATGTTGATCAAGCTGCAAATATGGCGGATTTTCACGCATTTTGTAGCCGTGGTTTTGATTTCTTGTTTCGTTGAGTCACAATTTGAAGAGAATTTCATAGCGTCTTCTTCTTTTTTACCGATTTATAATGATTCAGCTGCAATGGCTTCGTCTTCGTGGGCCGTTAGGATACCATTTTATTCACATATGGATGAGAAAGACTTGCATTTTTTAGCAGATAAGATCGCACACGAAGCCGGTCTTTACAACATGGGTCAGATTGGTGGCCTTAAAAGACACTATTTATTTTACCACAAATCGTTCAAAAATGACAGCAAACAACACAGCACAGAGACGGCTAGAATACGACACAGTGTTACAGAATTACTTGGTAATCATCCTCACGTAGAATGGTTTAAACAAGAAGTGGTTAGGAAGCGTTATAAACGTGGATTGCAGTTTCAAGATCAGTACTTCCCAAACCAGTGGCATTTGGTAGGTTATTGCATTATTAATGCTTAGACATTCTGTCCTTTTGTTCTTTAATACATTGTATCGTTTGCATCTCTGATTCATATTTCCTTGATAACCCCGTTTATATGTACAGTATTAAGAGCATCAAAACGTTATTAATATTTTCTAATTTTTAAATAATTGGGTTTATAAAAATGATAAATACTTCAAAACCCTAGCTCTCTACACATACATATATTCTACCATTTAAATATAAGTTAATAAGGGTTTTGATTCCCTGACTCAGCATCACACGTGAGTGAAGTTAATTGTTAATTTTCTCCCTTGATTCAAGAGAGAGCTCACTGTAGTTCAGTTTAATGATATTCCGCTGTGCATATAAATTTACAGCCGCAATTTTGGTTGACTTAGAGAAAAGATTTTTGTTATGTCAATATACACATATGTGGCAGCCATGTCTTTTGTCCTTGTGCATGTGACGTCATAGCCACCATATGTTGGATGACTTCAAAAGATTTGGCTTGGTGTCTTTTGTCCAAGTCAACCAACATGGCACCCATATCTTTTGTCCTTGTGCATGTGACAACGTCATAACCGCCATGTTGGTTGACTTGGACAAAAGATTTGGTCTTGGTTTCTTTTGTTATGTCATCCAACATGGTGGCCATGCCTTTGGTCCTTTTATTCCGAATTGATGCATATATAAATGCAACAATACAGTGTATGTCCAGTTATGTGAATTAATGAAACCCTTAATAGACAGTTTAATCTCAATTAATTGTCAGTAGCAGTTTAAAACCATGGTCTGTACCTGACTTAAATGTGACCCCATTCCAGGACAATCTGCAACATATTGGTTATTATAAAATAACTGCTCGAAATCTTGCATTCTGATTTGTTGGGAGTGCGTGCTTTATGAGAGCACACAGCACCCACACGCACTTTTAGTTTCATCATTCATGTAATTTTTCGTCATTCGTGTAATTCTTACTTGCTTGCTGTGCTGTGTGTAGTTATAAAGCACTTGGGGATTGACAGAAAACTTGAGAAGTGTCCAGAAGCACGGCGCTACACGTCATGCTTCTTCTAACACTTCTCTCGTGTTCTGCTTTATAACTGCAAACAGCATATGCACATGTTTCCTATTTCTTCATGATATTTGGGTGTATGGGAAAATAAGATGGTACAAATGTGACTCAAATATGACCCATTCACTTGCAGGACAATCTGCGATATGTTGGCAATGATATCAATGTTACGGGAGTATGGGAAAATAACATTACTGGACAAGGGGTAGTTGTATCTGTTATTGATGATGGTGAGTGCTTCGTATTAAGATATCAATTATATGTTAGGGATGGACCATTAGACTTTTGAGGGGGATTTTGAGGGGTGGGGGGGGGGTTGGGCAATTTATTTTGTGCAGGAAATTTTTTTTACGCCTCATGGCTGTGGAGGAATTGTTTTTGGCAAGTCAAACGTTAACAAATAACAACACACACATACATAGTTTTTATTCAACATAAAAAGCCGGTTCATTATATAGCTGTTGTCGTTTAAATTTGTTCTATTGGATTAAATTAAATGGTATAAATAACTTGAAATAAAAATAAATAAATTGATTGAAATAAGATGTTTATTATGAAAATAACAGGTGTTGAATGGACAAATCCTGATATTCTGGATAACTATGTAAGTTATAAGTATTAATAAGTATTAATCTCTTGATAAAGAAATAAATGACATATGCAGTAGAGATTTACATTGTGTGATTAAATCATTAATTATTACTAGAGAAGAAAAAAGAAGAAAACAAATAACTATGACGAAAATCGCTCAAACTTGGATTCAGCTGAAACTTCCTAAGAATACTCTTTAAAGGTCCAATAATCACTGTATGAAGTGTTTTCTCGATATTCAGGACGAAAATATGATATTTTTACGATTATTTTTTGGAGTCTGTGACRTCATACACTCAACATCGAACATCGCTCCATACATTTCTTTGTAGTTTATGATCAAAATATCAGTAGTAAAGGGAGAAAGAAATACCCAAACACCCCAAAATATAAATTATATTCACAAGTAACGTGAAATAAGCACATTAGCCACCCTTTGAGCTTCATAGGAATAAAATAAATTAAGGATTTATATACAAAGAAATGTATGTATCAATGTTGGATGTTGAGTGTATGACGTCACAGACTCCAAAAAATAATCGTAAAAATATCATACTTTCGTCCTGAATATCGAGAAAACACTTCATACAGTGATTATTGGACCTTTAAAGAGTATTCTTAGGAAGTTTCAGCTGAATCCAAGTTTGAGCGATTTTTGTCATAGTAGCACTTTAAGAAATAAAATATTCTCACTAAGTGAATTAGGAATAGCAATTCAAGTCTGGTTATCTAATAATTCTAAAATAAATGTTAAAATCAAAATCATATTTTGAAAATGCATTTATCTAGAGTAACAATGCAGCTCTCGTGGTAATGTTACTCTTGTTGATAAAGTTGCTGTCTTTTGAATTGAAATTGGAATTTCTATGAAGCCCAAACTGAAACTCAATGAATAAACTAATGACACTTATAATAAAGATTAAATATAAGAAAATATAAATATTTAACAATCTATTTTTAAAATCAGACTATTTAATGATCTAAACATTAAGAATCATCATGTTCATATATATATTTTATATTTTTACATTTTTTAGTATGTTTTTAACTTTCATTCTGTCCCAGCGTCTTATAAGTAAATTGTAAAACATTTAGCAACAATATTTTATCTAACCCCAGACTACATATCATGTAGGACTACTGTATATATTTTCTAGTGTTCATTTGTTTTGTTGTTGTGTATATCGTACAGTCATCTGAGGGTAGCTGGGATATTAATTCAAATGATCCTGATCCGATGCCCAGAGCTGACGATGCAGGTCTCAATCACCATGGTACAAGGTAAGGAAATAGATGGAGGGAGGGATGGATGGATTAGTGGGTCAGTGGATAGATGGATGGAGGGATGGATGGAT